TTTATATTAAACTAAACTTTTATGTTGAATATTAAAGAGACATAAAAAGATTCTTTGAGTCGTAAATTTATTGATGTTTGGAAATGCAATGGAAATAAAAACGAACTAAAATAATAATAGGTTTGCTTATTGCACACTGTCTCCATATCCTGCAAAAGAAGCATGTTCTATGAAGAAAAACAAGAAAAAGAATAGAAGGGCGTGTTTTGCGGTTAGTTACGTAGATGACGACTATGTTTTTTTTATTTCATGTCAGTTTTAAAAAGTAAATTATTGTATTTTTATTTATTAAAAACAGTTAATTAGTTAATTTATTTACAACTATATTCACTAATTTATTTACAACTTAGCAGTAATTTTTCTGAAATACTTATTTTTATGTCAGCATTTTTTTATATTTCAAACTCCTCTACTCGTATACTGTAGTAGTTTGTGCAACAAGAGTGGATATGATGGCCATATCGCACGAAGACGAAGTTACCAATTTAAAAAAATATTTTAGGTTATTAAGACAAAATAACTAGTTTTAAAATAATTTATGCATTTTACTGATTTTTTAAAATAAAATAAAACATGAAAATAGATTTTATTTAAAGCCAAGATTCGATCCCGAGCTTTTCGCGTGGAAGACAAGCGCTCTGTACTCGCATCCACGGCCACTTTTAAGAATTTGGTTTTATTACTCAATTAATATAGTTTAATTAAAATTTAATTTTTTTCAATATATGGACTAAATAAAAATAATGCTATTATTTATCGATTCTGCTCAAAAAATAACTCATTTTAATGTAGAGTACTTATTATTTTGTATTAGGCATAGCCGTGCTTTCTCATCGAACATGTAACTACGATATCCCCGCTATCGCTAGCTTTGCGACTGATATTCGGTTCGGCTAATATCCCACCACCATATCTTTTAATTCTAGTCATGGAGTATAAATATATTTTTTAAACATTCAAAACGGTATCACGGTATCAGATACGGACTTTTCTGAATGAATCCCAAAACTACATTTTTATTTTAATTTTTTTAGAAACTGTAAACAATATTTATTAATTGTTATAAAATGAATGATTAAGGTTATAATAACTAATTTTTAGTAATTCCACCGAGAATTCCACTTATTGATAAAATAAGTTTCAAGAAATAAAAAATGTGCAAGTGGAACATAGTAATTTATAGAATAATAAAGTCTAGAAATTTCATTTAATATGAGTATATCATGGTTTAACATAACTGTTATTTTAGACCGAAACTGATATAACAGAATAATCAAACAGTTGGTAGGTATTAATTGAAAACATATTATGGCAAAATAACAAATATATAAAAATTATGTTTATATTGGCCATTAAAAAAGACAATTTTATTGTTATGATGTCTTAGGCTATCACATTTTTTAATTTTATTTTTAATGAGGTAAAACATCCTAATGTTTGTATATTTGTTAGGTTATACAAGGGTCACATACTTTGATTACTATACGGTGCAAGAGAGACGTCCGACACGCCCAACATAGGGCGCGGCCATTTTGATTCCTATGCCACAGTTTATAGCTAAAGTATCAGATCGATCACTCTGCGTCGGCACTTTTGATCTCAATGTTCCAGTTTATACAATGCGCAACTCGGATAATACAATATATGACAACCGCCTATAATAAAACAGCAGTCTTCTGCGTATCCTGAATATGTATCCCTGGAGTGAATGTTATTTTGGAACTTTCAACTGGTCCGAGTGAGCTAACTGATTCTTTAGCAATAAACTGTGACTCCAAAAATATTATTCACTGACACTGACAGCAGCAAGCAAAATATCAGGTGCGTTTCAATCATCCGCTTCTGCTTCCGGAATTGTCGGTTTAGTCGTTTTAACCTGTCAGATTAAAAAAGAAAACCGAAAATTCTGAAGCAGAAGCGGATGACTAAAACGCACCTATTTAAAATATTGCGCCAAGATGTAGGCAACACGTGATAAGGGATCAAAATGGCGGAGTTTTCTCCGTATGGTAAAAGAAAATCAAAGTATGTGCAAGGGATGCTGATCAAAACTGTACAATTTGCAAATATATTTTTGTTTATAAATGACTTTTACCACTGAACACACTACATATTTTACTAAAATAAGGTGGATAATTTAAAGTAATAGCCCCTTTTTATTATTTGTTCACATTAAAGACAAACGTCTAACATCCATAGAGCATAGAGGGATATACTATAGGCTTTTTTAATTTTTTTTTTTTTCAATGAAGAAAATATTTGTCCCGATTTAGGCGGGACAGTCTCGATTTTAAACCACTAGTCTCGATTTAACATGTGTCCCGCTTTTGTCTAACATACTGGTTCTAACCCGTGGTACGATGCCAAAGAAGGCAGCAAAGCACCTCGGGAATTTTGAGTTGAAACATGCCACATTTTTATACCCTATTCAAAAATTTTATGCTCCTCGTTTTTTGCAAAAATCAAGGTGCTCTGCTAGCTTCGAACGAAGTCAGCAGAGCACCTCAGTTTTTTAAAGCTTTTTTCCAAAACCAACGACACCCTATTTTTAAATATTATAAAACTTTTCGAATTGTTTTTTTTTTTTAAATAGAGGGTGCTTTGCTAGCTTCGAATGAATCCAGCAGAGCACCTCGGTTTTTTAAAGCTTTTTTCTAAAAACAACTACACCACATTTTTAGGCTATTTTAAGGCTCTTGAAATATAAAACTTTACTAAAAAATTGCTATTTCAAAAAAAAGGTTTCTTTTATTTATTTTTATTTTCGCAATCATAAACATATTTATGACATTACCAGTTACATAATGTTCAACTTTATGTAACTCAAAGTAGATAGATCATTTGGACACTCACTGGGAATACAAAAATGTCACTTTGTAAGTCAAATTAAAAGAAAATTTGTATTAAATACTTATTAAGATTAGGATAGGCTCATTGCAAAAAACCCTTAATCAATAAACATTTTAATTTCTACGATTAATTATATCAATGCGCAAAATATAATCAAAATCAATGATAAACAATATACAAATAAGTTGTTTTAGCTGGGATTGATTGATTCAAAATTGGTGTAAATACCAATTACAAGGTAGTGTCCATGTTAAAAATTCCATACCTGTTGATTATATTAAAATTGAAAAGTAAATGTTCAAATCAAATCTAAATATCAGTCATATCATAATACCTACTCATACGCAGAGTCTTCAATAATATTCATATCTCACGTAACTAAATTGACTAAAACTAACATTAATAACTTCAGTAGTAACCCTAAAACAATGACCTATTTGACATAATTCTATTGTTAAATAAGTTGTTATAAAAATGAGTAAGAACGGCCTTTTTTTATTATTTTCAAATGGCAATTTTTTGGTAAAATTTTATATTTTAGGAGCCTAAAAATAGCCTAAAAATATGGTGTAGGTGTTTTTAGAAAAAAACTTTAAAAAACCGAGGTGCTCTGTTGGATTCGTTCGAAGCTAGCAAAGCACCCTACATTCTTTAAAAAATACATTTTTTTTTTAAATTATATATTGTTTTAAGAGCCTAAAAATAGCTTTAAAATGTAGCATAACTAGTTTTCTGAAAAATAAATAATAAACCGAGGTGCTCTGCTGACTTTGCTCCAACAAAGCACACTGTATTATATAAAAATAGCAATTTTTTAGTAAAGTTTTATAATATCTCAAGAACCTAAAAATAGCCTAAAAATGTGGTGTAGTTGTTTTTAGAAAAAAGCTTTAAAAAACCGAGGTGCTCTGCTGGATTCGTTTGAAGCTAGCAAAGCACCCTATATTCTTTAAAAAATACATTTTTTTTTTAAAGTTATATAGTATTTTAAGAGCCTAAAAATAGCTTAAAAATTTAGCATAACTAATTTTCTAAAAAAAATAATAATAAACTGAGGTGCGCTGCTGACTTTGCTCCAACAAAGCACCCTGTATTATTTAAAAATAGCAATTTTTTAGTGTAAAGTTTAATAATATTTTAAGAGCCTAAAAATAGCCTAAAAATGTGGTGTAGTTGTTTTTAGAAAAAAGCTTTAAAAAACCGATGTGCTCTGCTGGATTCCTTTGAAGCTAGCAAAGCACCTTGTATTTTTTAAAAATAAAATTTTTCGAAAAGTTTTATAATATTTTAAGAGCCTAAAAATATGGTGTCGTTGGTTTTGGAGAAAAGCTTTAAAAAACTGAGGTGCTCTGCTGACTTCGTTCGAAGCTAGCAGAGCACCTTGATTTTTGCAAAAAACGAGGAGCATAAAATTTTTGAATAGGGTATAAAAATAGCCTTAAAATAGCCTAAAAATGTGGCATATGTTTCAACTCAAAATTCCCGAGGTGCTTTGCTGCCTTCTTTGGCATCGTGGTACGACACAACGATGATCGGTGTGAGACGTGCTAGAGTCGTAGAAAATCAGCAAACATCATGAGAAATCGGTAGATTTAAATTTTAGTAAAAATAAATATACATTCTAAATCAGTAGACATCAAAAATCAGTATGTTTGGCAATGCTGCAATCAATTAGCAAGGGGGTGTGCGTGGCACATGCAGCGAGCATGCAGTGTTTCAATCGTTTTGTTCCATTCTCATTTTGTTTTAATTAGTTAGTAATAGTCCAACTACCTACGTTCGTTGTTTTATTTTAAGTGTTTGATTATTTTTAATTTTAATTTAAAGTTTGACAACAAAGGGCAAATATCGTTGGTGAACGAAGTTCTTAATAACTGCTCCAGAGTTTAATACGTACGTAAAACAAACATTTTACGACAGGAAGCTTAAAAGAAAATTCTTGAAATACTACTTTCAAACGACACAGTGAAGTCGCAAAAAATGTCAAATGATATTGAAGAACAAATTATCGACAAGATAAAATGTAGTCCTTATTTTGCGCTACAATGTGATCCGATATAACACAATGTTGTCAATTACTTGTATTTATTCGATTTTTGAATGACAATAAAACGTTTAAAGAGGAGTTACTATTTTCTCAAGAACTAAAAATGACGTCTCAAGGAGCAGATGTTATGGATGTAATAAGTCAATATTTGGAGAAACATGGACTTATGTGGCAAAAGCTTGCGGGATTTTGTACGGACGGTGCTCCTGGTATGCTTGGTTCCCCTTCTGGTCTTGCAGCGTTGATAAAAACAAAAAATCTATCTGCAATTACGACGCACTGCGTTATTCATCGTCAAGCATTAGCTGCCAAAACGCTCCCGGAATGCTTTACTATTGCGATGAAAACAGTTATAAAAGTAGTTAACTTACTTAACAAGAGTGCACTTAATACTCGTCTCTTCAAATGATTGTGCTCAGATATGAACTCTGAATACGAAACTCTGCTTTTCCACACGGAAGTGCGTTGGCTTTCCAAAGAAAACAATGCTGTCGTTGTACGAACTGAAAACTTTGTTTTCATGGACATATCTATGCGAGCAGGGTTTCTCGGCGCTTCTGATAATTAAAAGCAAGCACAGAAATCGGCTGGATGCCAGTGCCGAAATGCGTTTGGCTTTTGTGTAACACTGAACCAAGGACTCAGAAGTTAGTAAACAGAGTATGCAGTCACAAAAATCTCATTAAAATATTTTCTCTGTAATGTAACATTTTCGTAAATAAATTAAAATACTATTGGCTTTATTCATTTACTGTACAGTTGGTGGTCCGTGGCAAGGCAGAAATTTTTTCAAATGGTCCCTCATCACTAAAAGGTTTTGAACCACTGGTCTAACGAAAAAAATAGATAAATATTTTAATTTTTATGGTGACATCCCACTCTTTTATACATATTTTTTTGCACTTAAATGAACCGTCACTACTGCAAAGAGAATTCGTAGAAATATATCCTTGTTTTCGATTTGTTCCACTTTCTACTTTTCCAAATATAGTCACTATCAATATATGTATAACAATATATTTTGTAAATCCCGATAGCGTGTGATTTAGTAAATAATTTGTTCATGCTTAGTAACGTCTAGCACACTATCGTAACTCTCTAATAAGCCAAGAGCTCTATAGTCTCTTGACGATTCGTTGATTTGACGAAGAGGACATTTTAAAATTCGAGGAATACAATTTCCAGGATAACTTCAACATGTACCTACTAATAATTTTTTTAAGCTACCAAATTATTTTCAAACTTAAAAGAACTCATTTTTCTTAAGATTTTTATGTGAAATATTATATGTCAACGTGAAAACAGTATTTTTAAAGCCAATGAGGATTTAAATTCTTGGGAGAATTTTAATCCTCTCGAAATATACCAATATGCGAATTTTCACTGCCTTTAAAAATACTGTTTTTACGATGACGTATGACATTTTTCATGAAAATCTTGAGAAAAATCACTTTCTCTCGAGTTTGAAAATAGCCCCCCAGACATTTCTGTCCGGTGGAGTTATTGTTGTGGCCTCCATGTAAGCGAATATAATGGTCTTGAGATATTTATCATATTGGTAAAAACTGTAAATGTGAGTCGGTGTTGTAAATTACGTGTTTTTAAGGCACTAATATACTTATCCATGTCATTTAAAAAAGTTTATATACCTTCATAATTTGTTTTAAAGACAAATGGTTTTTATAATGAAACTGCATTAAATTTCTAGAAGTTAAAATAACAAAGAGGATATTTATGATTATTTTAAATCTAATTTTTGCACCAACTGTAGCAAATTCTTTAATTTTTAATTCATCTTTACAAAACCCTAATATCGTTACAACACTCTCACTCAAAGCACAATTAATATCTCAAATACGATCCTGCACATTGTTTACTATGTTGTATACATAGTTGTGGACTGTTATTTCAGATAATTTCTTTATATAAATATCTATTAGGTTGCTAAAAATACGTTGAACACAAGCAACCAATGTTTAGCTTTTAATATGTACAATTTATTTAGTTTGCAAACGACATACAAATAGAAAAAACGTTGATTGAAACCACGATTAGCTGTTTGAAGGATTCGTGAACACAATATGGCGGACGTGAACCCGTCTTGGAACACGTGACAGTATCTTCCTACCTTCTACCTCCATGATTCTAGTCGACGACAGGACAACTGGCTGTTATCGCGTTGCCATTTTATTAACTTATATACTAATGGTATGCCTAACACGAAAAAATAAGCACTGTATATTTAATCTCAATAACTAAAAAATGTTCTCAATACCTAGAATGAATAGGAAATATATTCGTTCAGTCGAACGCAATGACATAATTTTTCGTTTTGTAGTCTATGAGTAGATAAGCTAATATCCATGTGGAAAAACTAATTTATAACATAAACTGACTACTCAACCGACAATCTTATTGTATATAAAGGAGAAGGTTCTGAAAATTCCACCATTTTATCGAATATGGCACCTTCGTCTAAAACAACGATACTTGACTATCTATGCAGGGATTCCCAAAAAGGTCGATACCGACCCTTTGGGATCGAAATCGGTTTCCCAGGGGTCGACATAAACGAAAACTGATTTTGGAAGTAGGCAAGGTCTAAAAATCGATTCCTATTAACTAACACAAGTTCATATTTGAAACTTTCAAGATAAAGTGTAAGGGTTAAAGAAAAGGTCCTTTATTTCTCACAAGTCAATTTAATTGGCGACCGGTTTCGAAGTTGTCACTTCATCATCAGGCACACTTAAATGGAATGTCAAGGAGTCAGTTGTAATAAAAACAATTATAAAAGCATGAACGGACTTTAACATATACAAAATAACAGAAAAAACACAAAAGAAAGTTAAACAATAACCTTGACTCACCTTGACTAATTCCATAAAGGAAGCGCTACAAAAAGTTTAACAGAACGAGTTAAAAAAGTCATGTGTAATAAGTATTTTTTAAAAAAATTTTAATGTAGGTTAGGTTAAACCACCAGATGTCTGTTTGAATAAAATAATTAATTAAAACACATTTAAGACAATAATTATTAACTAAACAACACAAAATAGTTTTACAAGCACAAACAGTTTAAAAAATTTTAAGGATATAATGTTAATTACTGAAAGTAAAAAGTAAAAAAGTAAAAATTATCAGACTGTCAAGACATCTATCTAGATTTTTAACGAATCAATGCAGTAAACTGTAAATTTTAAACTAGCGGATAAATAGTGTACTAACGAAGGTGTTATTTACTGAAAGTGAGTATAGGTGGCGGTGACAACATTTATTGAAAGTAAAATATATTAAACTGAGAATGAAAAAGCAAAAAAAATTTTTTTTTTATACTAACAAGAAAATTAGAACACTAAACAAGAAAATATGAAAATTCATATGTTAAAGGGAAATTTGAAGCAGATAATCAAAAGAAAAATAACTGTTACAGGAAACGGAAACTAGGTTGACAGTACGAATGTCAGAAAAGAAAAGTCAAATTTTGGCGTATGACAACCACGTGGGAGAATTTGAATAAGCTAAAAAATTTAATAAGATGCGAATGGGCAAAAATTAATGGAAAGAAAATCTAAATTGGGAAAGTTAATTGTGGTAAGTAACTGACTGAAGATCAAATGAGTGGGGGTAAAAGTCTGAAAATAATTTAAATGAGCGCAGAGAACGTTGGGGTACTAATAAATTGAATTTGTGCATTCAGAGAGCAGGAGGGGCCAGATTTAATATTTTTTAAAATTTCCAGGTTCTCAAAGTTATTCAGAAGGAATTTATTAGAAGTCATATGCAAAATGTCGAAGCCAATGCTAGAATCAAAATCGTGACCAGTGTCTAACAAATGAGCAGCAAAGTGAGAAAAACCAGTAGTGTTAGTGTTAAGACAGCGTGTGTGCTCTTTCAGGCGTATTTTAAAATTACGAAAGGTCCTTCCCACATATGAGCATGGACAGTTCAAACAAGTTAGTTTGTAAACACCAGACTGATCCATAGGATCAATCTTATCCTTATTCCTAACAAATAGGCTACTGATCGAGTTGGACGTTCTAAAGCTAATTCTGAAGGAATCTTTGAACAAGCTGGCTATACGATATGAGAATTTTCCAATAAAAGTAAGTGAAACATACTTACGATTATCTGCTTGAATATTGGGAAGATGTAGAACTGTTGGAACTTATGAACTTATTAACAATTAGTCTTGAACAAAACTTCTTCCTCTTTAATAATGAAATTTTTACACAGACAACAGGATTAGCTATGGGTTTGCCTTTATCTCCTATACTTATTACACATGACTTTTTTAACTCGTTCTGTTAAACTTTTTGTAGCGCTTCCTTTATAGAATTAGTCAAGGTGAGTCAAGGTTATTGTTTAACTTTCTTTTGTGTTTTTTCTATTATTTTGTATATGTTAAAGTCCGTTCATGCTTTTATAATTGTTTTTATTACAACTGACTCCTTGACATTCCATTTAGGTGTGCCTGATGATAAAGTGACAACTTCGAAACCGGTCGCCAATTAAATTGACTTGTGAGAAATAAAGGACCTTTTCTTTAACCCTTACACTTAATCCCTACTACTCACATATGGCTACCCTCACTCCAAATCATACTGCCAGTCCAGCAACTTTAGCCAGTAGCTACAGATCGTTTGTCATGAAGAGAATGAAAGTCAACTGTAATATTTACTTCAATAACCGTTGCCTACAAGAAAATTTGACACCTAGATTTTTAACTATCAAGATTAATAGGGAGCAGATCACCCCTGGTAGTAGAAGATGCCTTTCCAGATTGAAGTCACTAATGCTGAAGGATGAAGTCAGATTACAATACAGGAAATTGTACTATTTGGATATTAGGTTAAAATCTATGTACGATTTACTGAAAGAGGTATGGCCCTTTATAGTGTTGAATAACTTTTTGCATGACTTGGATGCTTTAATTAATTTCCAACACACTAGTAAGATGAGAACACTAAACAAGAAATTACAAGCTCTTAAGACTATTAAACCTAATCAATCACAGTCCATACATGACCATTTTGTTAATTTCCATACACCTCTCATAAATTATTCTGATTGTGTTTTTACTGTTGAAGAAGTTGAGTTACTTAAAAAAGGTATTAAGTTCAATCCTTTAATTAAAAACAATAATTCTTATAAAAATAATTTAGAACTATTAGCGGTTGAAACAGAATCAATTTTACAAAACTTTGATTTAGCTAATAAAGACTTGCTTAGAAATGATGTAATCAATTTGCTTAAAAAAGAAAAAGAAAATATTAATTTGCCTAACAATACTTTGACCTCAGGTTCTTACAATGATAAATTAATTAAAAGCATCTCTATAAAAATCAAAAACAACGATTTAATGTTAACCAAAGCTGACAAAGGTAATTGTCTCATTGTAATGAACAG